TTTCTTGCTATTGTATCTTTATTGGATTGTTCAAATAATTAGGAGCAGTTATGCCTTACAAAAATGTATTCATAACTCACTGGAGCCAGCATTTAAGATATGTAATTTTCAAAAGTTTTTTTCTAATTTAAATGAGAAACAAGCTTGCCTCACATGTCAATCAGGTATTACTTTTCAACAAATTAAAGCAAGGACCTGGGCACACATATCAACCTCATTGGGTTGGTGTGACCATCAAGTACTTAAGTGCTCGAGTCCCCATTAATACATAAATCAAATCAGTGTAGGGCATTTTTAATCACCACACTCTGCACTTTGGGAAGACTGAACCGTTTTCCACCCTTCTTCATATCTGAATCGCAGAATCTATTTGTGGAAAGAAGAAAATCATTTCATGATTAGAATCTGTTAAACAAGGTTTAAAATGTGATATTAGAATTAAGATGCTTTTTCTAGCATCTCACTAACAAACACACAATTTTATTCACTTATTAAAAACATCACGCATTCTTCAAATATGTAACATGGCCAATAGTGTTGTGGGCACCATGCTAATTATCAGGGGACTGAGAGGACCTGCACTGGGTTCCTGTTCCCAAAGATTTCCTTGATGAGCTTAGAGTTAATCCACGCCGCTGTATTTAACAGACTTTCCGAGGGATGTGAAATTCTATTATCTTACATGAACTGGGACCTGGAGAGTAGTCAGTCCCCTTCTTGTATTGGGTTTAGTTGGGAGGGCAATCAGGCACAGATCGGAAAGGATCTATTTAAAACTCCTGTGGTAAGACTAGCACAGCTCAGAGGGAAGGGCTTTGGATACAGGGAATTTGCCCACAGGTTTCAGAACCACACTGGTTACGTAATAGTAACTGACAACTCATGAGTTAATAATGGCTGTGGGCTCTACGGACACAGGGCAGATGACATCTGTGGTCAGCAGTGAGGCAGGCTGAAACTTCAGCCATGACCTCAGATGATTACATTAAACAGACAGGTGTCCAGGACAGTATTTCTTAGGTCATGTCTTTGGACTGTCATTCCCTCAAAGATTCAGATAATCCACAGATAAAAGCATGTATAATTAATAATACATACACAGATTCAAATATGCTTGGAGTTTGCTGAAGCTCTATTTTTTCTTTTGAAGACTTACAACGTAGAGCAGTAAGCCGGTTTAACTTTGCTAAGGAAGTTACAAAACGCGAAGCTGTCAACTAACAAGGCTTTTGCCTCTTCTGTTTTTGTCTCTTACGTGTCCAGGGAATCTCAGTGTTTACAGTAAGACATTTGGAAAAAAAGGCTGTTAAGTTAATAATTACTGGGGGAATGCGAACGGTTTTCACAGGAAAGCGAATGCGGGGCTGCGTTATTATTGTCTGGGGTCACCGCAGTAAGAAAGCAGGGCTCCCTAAGTTTAAAATGTCTGGAACGGGCATTCGAGTGGCAGTGTGCCACCTAGTGGCGGGTCCTGAACGTGCAGCTTTGGAGTTTTTCACTCTCTAGGAATGCAAGACAGTCGCCCCAGAATTCCAGATCCACGAAGAGCAGATGAAGTCTGAATGAAGCACCCATTTCTCAAAAATTAAATTGAAAGTATTATTATCTTTTTATTATTAAAAGAAAATGCATGTTAATTTTACACTAGAACTTACAAGTCAGTAAATAAAAATACAATAAATCAAAATTATATTTTTCCCTCACATTTTAAACAAATTTATGCGTAACCATAAATATTTTATACCACAATTTGTGCTGCAATTGATGTTTATAGTGACCGGTCTTTCAGATTTCACATAAACATCATTGAATGATATTTTCACATGCGGATATAGGACACATCATAATTAACCCCATTGATGAACATGTAGATTATTTGAGAAATCTCTGGACCATGACATTTCAATCAGTAGCCTTTGTATCTTTGACTTTTTAGTTCATTAGAGCGAGTTCTTAGAGGGGGAAACCTTTGTCAGGACTGCACACATTAAACTTTGAAAGTTTCTCTCCGAGAGGCGTGCATCGTTTTTCTTCCCTTTTAAACAGTGGCTTTGTGTCTTTCTTCTCTCGTTCTCATCTGTGGACCGGCGCAGGGCATCAAACGCGCCAGCCTGAAGACCAGGTTGAATCCTTGTTTTAGACTGATTGAGTTCCGAGTTGGAGGTCTCCATTCTTAACGTGTTTGCGCCTGGCGGTCTGCTCCCTGTCCCTTTGTGAATATGTTACCATTCCCGTTCTTTCTTCTCCCTCCTGGGGTCTGGGTCCTCACACTGGTCACATGGAGAGTCCTTTGAGGTATTTTTGTCCGTTATTCCGTTTTAATTGTGAACTAACTTTGGACCGACAGAAACTGTAAGAACAGAACCTCCAGTTCCCGTGTGCCCTTTGCCCAGCTGCTGAGCACGCGTCTCTCTTACATAAATCCGTGTGCAGTGAGCAAATCCACACAGGCACAACGCTGTACGCCAAATGGTAGACCTGCTCCAAGCGCCTGCGCTCTGCTGCTTACTTCCCTTTCCTCTTCCAAATCCTAATCCAGGATCCCATAACATGTTAACGTTGGTGTTCTCCATCCTGTAACCACTGATCAAAAAAAATTTTTTAGGCTCTTGTGACCTTCACACTCAGAGAGACTGATCCTTTATGTGTAGAAGGTCCTTCTCTTTCTGTTTGTAAAACGTTTTCTCCTGATTGAAGCGTGGTTGCGCATTTGAGGCAAGAAAAAGTGGCAGGCACGCCGCGCTGCAGCTTGGAGTACATCATTGTGCTACTTGGTTTTTTTGTCAACATGACACAAATCTGGGAGGAGGGAACCTGGACTGAGTCACTGTCTCCATCAGATTGGTGTGTGTGTGTGTGTGTGTGTGTGAGTGTTCTTCATTGATGACTGATGTCAGAGTGCCCAGCCTTTTGTGGGTAGTGCCATGATGTCTGGGCAGGTGGACCTGAGCTGCATAAGAAAGGGAGAAGGTGAAGCCAGAGGGAAAGCGTCAGCATCCAGCATTCCTCTGGTGTTTTCTGCTTCAAGCTTCTGTCTTGAATTCTTTGCCTTGGCTCCCTCCAATGACAGACTATACCCGTAAGCTAAAATTAATTCTTTCCTTGCCAATTTGATTTTGGTTAGCATCTTATCACAACAACAAAAGGCAAACTAGGACAACCCCGTAACATAGTTCATAGATAACATTATCATTGGGTTAAGTTGTTATCAGGAAGATCTACTTGCTATAATGTTTTATTGTTAATATAGTTCTCAGGGGGAATGCTTTGAAACCATACAGCATTTGTGTATGTTCAGTTCCACATCTGATTGTACACATAACATTATATGGTATTTGTACTTTAACAGTTTATGTATGTGGCATTATTGTGTACATGCAATTTATTTTCTGAGACAAGGTCCCTAGTCTAGGCTAGGCCTGGACTTCCTACACAGCTGAGGGTGCCCTTGAGCTTCTTGTCTCCGTCTCCAGTGATGGAGTTATAGGTGTGCACCACCATGCCAGGCTTTTGTAGTGCTGGGGATGAACCAGGATGTTGTGTTTGTTGGTAAGCTTGCACCAAGAGAGCTACATCCCCAGATGCATCTACACCTTTTATTTCAGGATGGTTTGGGTTTCATCTTTTCTTTCTACTTTCAGGTGTACTTTGAAACATGCTTTGCTTCCAACGCCATGTTTTCAGATTTACCATGTGGATTCAGCATGCGGGAGACTGTTCCTTAGACTGATTAAATGAGTTAACCGTACCATTGCCAATACAGAGGAGCCTTCCTTTGTAAATAGCCTTTATTAAAGTTTCCCTTTGACTATTTAATACATGTGTATAATGTACTCTGAATGGTTTCACCCCACACCATGTCTTATATCCCTTCTATCCATGGTAACTGCTGTGGTAGTTTAAATGGGAATGGCCCCCATGGGCTCATTGGCTTGGATACATGGCTGCTGATCTGTGCAAGTGTTTGGGAAGGATTAGGAGGTGTGGTTTTTAGAGGAGGTATGTCACCGGGGAGGGCTCTAATGTTTTATTTTTTTTTATTTATTTATTTATTTATTTATTTATTTATTTATTTATTTATTTATTTATGGTTTTTCGAGACAGGGTTTCTCTGTATTGTTTTGGAGGCTGTCCTGGAACTCACTCTGTAGATCAGGCTGGCCTCGAACTCACAGAGATTCGCCTGCCTCTGCCTCCCGAGTGCTGGGATTAAAGGCGTGTGCCACCAACACCCGGCTGGGCTTTAATGTTTTAAAAGGCCACAATAGACCTAGTAAGTTCTTTCTGCACTGCCTCCCCCCCCTCCTACTTGCTGATGAGGAGGTAACTTCTCAGCTACTGCTGGAGCACCATGCCATGCAAGCTTGCTGCCATGCTGCCTGCTGTGGTGGTCATGGCCTGACTCTCTGAAACTGTAAACTTTCAATAAACGCTTGCTTCTAGTTGCCTCATTCAGAGTGCTTTGTCACAGCAGTAGAAAAGCAATGAAGACAACTGCCTTCCTCCCTTCAACTTCTCCCACATTCCCGCCCTTTGCTGTGTTTTGTGAGTTTAACCAGGGCCAGTCTCTGATTGTTTCCAGGCTCGGTCTTAGATAGGTCAGTGCAGGCAGCTGATGAGAAACCGTGGTGTGTGTGTGTGTGTGTGTGTGTGTGTGTGTGTGTGTGTGTGTGTGTAGGAGGTACAGGCTATCTAAGTGTAGTGCTCACAAAACGAGCTTTGTGTCAGGACTTGCCTTTCATCTTGTTTCCGATAGGGTTTCTTCGTTGTTTTCTGATGTACACATCAGTATATGCCAGGTGTGCTGGCTAGTTCCATGTCTACATGACACAAGCTAAAGGTTATCTGGGAAGAGGGATCCTCAGGTGAGGAAAATGCCTCCAGAATGTTGGACTTTTAGCAGACAAGCCTGTGGTGTGTTTTCTTCATTAGTTGGGAGCGCCCTGGGCCCGTGGGCCTGGGTTCTATAAGAAAGCAGGCTGAGCAAGCCGCCAAGGGCAAGACACTAAGCAGTACCTCTCCATGGTCTGTGCGTCAGCTCCTGCCTCCAGGTTCCTGCTGTTTGAGTTTCTGTCCTGACTTCCTTCAGTGATAAAAGGTGAAGAGGAAGTGTAAGCTAAATAACTCCTTTCCTCCTCAAGCTGCCTTGGTCATGGTGTTTCATCACAGCAGCTGTGACCTCAACTAACAAAAATATTGATAGCAGAATAATGGTGTATCGCTATGGCAGATGTAGCGATGTAGTCTTGGGAGGATTATGGAAGGACTTTGGAATGTTTCGGTGGAAAACCATTGAGTATTGAGAGCTCAGTGGGTTGTTCTTTAGGATTTTGGAAAATAAGATTGTTGAGAGCAGTACAAACGATGGAGTCCTGGTTTAAGAAGTTTTAGAGAGAGGAAAGTGCAAAGACTATGTGGATCATTTGATATTTTGAATTAAGGTTCTGTGATTCTGGTCAGCTGGGGCTGAGAGGCAGCCATGATTAACAAGAGACCAGCACCATTAAAGTGAAACCTTTGCTTTACTGGCACAGTTGATGCTGGTTTAGCTGAGGCTGAGAAATTAGCAGTGATTAAGGAAGAAACCAACATCAGTGAAGTGAGATCTTCTGGGAAGTTTTTCCTGAGAAGTAGCAAATAGAAACTGTATTCCCACGGTGGCCAAGATTGCACCTGGTTGTGCTGGCAGCCAAAGAAGCTACTGGTGGAAATGCAGCCCAGTTGCAACAGAGGACCCAGCATTTTGGAGAGGCCAGTGATATGGATGACCAAGAAAAGCAGCATTGTGGGAATGGAGCCATCCAGAGCCTACACTATAAAACGTGTGTACTGCAGAAGGCAGAGCCAGAGAAGTGACCCAAGCCCTGTGGAGGAGCTTAGAAGACTAAGACTGTGAGTAAGCCCCAGGTTATTGGACATTAGTTGTTTATACTATTGGAGTTTGGTTTTGCTTTGGTTTGATTGTGACTGTGCCCTGGTTCTTTCCTCTTGAAACACGGAAGCATTTGACTTAGTTTTGATTTCATTGGAAGCCACAGTTCAGAGATTTTGAATTGTAAGAATACTAAATTGTTAGTGTTTGAATTTGTTCGAGCGTGAGACTAAGTTTGTAAAATGTTTTATATTGTGATGTCATAATAGTGTGCAATCTTGGGGATAAGCAAGAAAGGAAATGTTGTGGTTTAATCCTGATGCGTTTATGTGTCAAGTTGACAGAGGGTCAATTGTTCTGGCTAGTTTTACGTCAAAACAAGCTACAGTCACTGAAGAGGAGGGACCCTCAATTGAGAAAATGCCTCCAGAAGACCTGCTTTAAGCAGACAACCTCGTGGGGCACTTCCTTCATTACGGGGGAAGGACTCAGTCTATTGTGGGTGTGGTCACCCCTGGGCTGGTAGCCCTGGTGCCTATAAGAAAGCAGATGGAGTAAGCCATGGGGAGTAAGCCAATAAACAGCACTCTTCCATAGTCTGTGCACCAGTTCCTACTTACAGGGTCCTGTGTTGTTTGAGTTCCAGTTCTGACTTCCTTAAATGATGAACAGTGATGAGGAAGGGTGAGTCTAACAAACCCTTTTTTCCCCGGGTTGCTTTGGCCATGGTGTTCTAATAGTAACCCTAAGACACCAAGCTAACTGGCCTTCAAGCTCTCAGAATCCTCCAGCCTCTGCCTCCTCTCTCCCTGTAAGATCATTAGAACTGCAGGTGTGCACTACTGTGCCCAGCTTTATGTGGGTTTGGGCATTTGAACTCAAATGTTAAGTCATTGTACACTTATTTTTACTAAAGCCCAAGTCCAAGGGCTAGAAGACATAGAATAAAACAAATTAGTTCCAAGTCTAAATCCAAAGCCCATGCACTGTGCTGTCCTTCCCAGTCCAAGAGGGAAGTACAAAACCACTAGAGTATCTGTGCTTATGCACATACTGCCAATGCACAGAGCATATACTGCTAGTGCATAGTACAGATAAGAGGAAAAAATGTGGTGACACATTATTTATCATTTATTAAGGCCTGCCTGAGGATTCAGAAAGTGAAGCCAGATTCAAGCTATAGCAATCAGGCCGTGGTGGTACACACCTTTAACTCCAGGACTTGGGAGAAAGGCAGATGGATCTCTGAGTTCAAGACCACTCTGGGATACCAGAGAGTGAATCAGAGCTCATACCTTTAATCCCAGCATTAGGGAGGTATGTAAGACAGGAACAGGGTCTCAGAGCTGGCATTCATTCTCCAGCCACATTGAGTCTCTAGCCTTGTTGAGGAGAGCATAGCAGTTTGAATAAATCTGAGGAGCAGCGAAGTCAGGAGCAGGATTGCCCCTTTCGTTTGAGCTGAGGTAGAGGTAAGAGCTAATGACTGACTACTTTGCTCTTCTGATCTCCAGCAAGCTTTAATAAATCATAAATAATATATCACTACAGACAAGGCACCCACTGAGCCATCTCCCTACCCCAAGTTGATGTAATTTCTTGTTACTAAGCTTTAGCTTCAAATTTAACATGTCAATGTTGGAAAATGTGTATGATAATTTATAGGTGGGGCTGAGAGAAGACAGACATTTAGGTTAATCACAGTACTTTACTGTTTAAAACAAACTACTAAAGGTATTTACTGTATTTTATAGTGTTATGTATTCACTGACCTCTTCAATTAATAACTTAATGCTGACCTTAGTGATTTTTCTCATTGTTGTGACTGAATACCCAACACTAAACAACATATGGCAGAAAGAGTAAATTGGGCTTAGGATTTAAGAATGGACTCATGCATTCATGGCAGAGAGAAGGGTTGGTGCTTAGATGAGAAGCAAGGGTTAGTTAGATTGCTTAGGTAGGCAGGTAGTTAGGTAGCAGAGAGTGAACACAAGTGAGGCTGGTTCTAAACCATCAAGGTCCTCCAACAGGAGCTCCTCCTTCCATCAAGATTTCCCCTATTCACAAAGGTTCTATGATCTTCCCAAACAGAATTACAAATTGGGAACCAAGTGTTCAGATGTATGAACCTAAGAGGAGCATTTCATATTCAAATAACTATTGTGTTGGATAGGAAATGTTTCCAATGTAAAAAACTAAAGTATTGCTTGACAAAACCCTCAGCCTGTGGCAGATCTTTTAAAGGAACGTGGAGGGTAAAATGGTGGTTTTTCTGCCTGTTTACGAAAGACCAACTAGGAGCTTATGAATGTTGGTGTTGCCATGTCCTTCTCCTTCTCTCTATCTCACATCTGTAGAGACAGACAATAGCATTTAGAGAAATATTTCAGTTATCCCAGAAAACGAATTGCCTTATGTCTGTCTCTCATTTAGCCACACGATCTTGGACAAACGCATGAAGGTCTCACAAGCCCAGCCTGTTTCTAAGTCAAGGCCAGTTGATAGATCACTAATGAAAGAGGTTTCCAAAGCAGAGAACCCCCCATTCAGGGAACTTTTTGTGCTATTTTTTCAAGCCCATTCTCACAAGTGTTGAGTATTGGTCATTGTGATACCAATTTGTATATAATGGATGAAGGATTTCTACAGAGTATATGGCACGTGCTCTATAGATTTTATTTTTGTAATATATGGTATTGTGTTTGATTCATTTATATACTATTTTCTTGGCACAACTTCCTACCACACTTTGACAAACAAGGAATGAGCAGCTTATCTGGTGGGGATTTATAGCACAGGGAGTCCACAGTCTTGGAAGATGTCATTGGCAGTGTAAATAGCAAGGTTAACATGGTTGTTTGAGAAATAAATACAAACTTCAGTTAGTATTTCATCTTGAGAACCAGCTTAAGCGTGCTTTAGATAACCTCTTATAATTGAAGTCCTTTTATAAGCTTGGCCTTTATATTGAGTTTTGTCAAATTCAAGGTCAGGCAGAAATTCTAACATTAATCAGTTCAAAATTGTGCCTATTGTCTTCTCCTGAAATACACTAGCCATCACTTTCCTTTCTATCATCTCCCCTTTTCTCCTTATATCTCATATGTTTAGTTTTTTAAAAAAAATATAATTTCATTAAGTTGAATTCGTCACAGTGGAAAGGAAGTCCTTGCCTTTTGGTTGAGTGAATAGATTCTGAGCCATTATACGCGCAGTCAAAAGCAGTTCATTCTTATTTGATAAATGAATTGAAAGTACCTGAAATTGTTTCATCCTCTGTCTTTCTTCCCTTTTCATCTTTTTGAGCAATCAAATGAAATATCCCCTCGCTTTCCTAATCTAAGCTGTCTGCTCTGCCTTGGCACCGAAAATGCATGTTTCAATAAGTGTTCCTATGTCACAGTAAGTTCTTGCATCTTTTAACATGTATTTTATACTACAGTTTCAGAAAGGCAAAAAACAAACCAACTCTAAATCCATTTCCATCTCTAAATACACTTTTGAGTTATGTATTTAACATCAGTAAGTATATATGTCTACATATATGTACAATGAATTGCACATATTACATGTGTATGTACTGGGGTGATTGAGAGAAACATTTGTTCTTAGGTAGGATACTAACCATTGTAACTTTTATCTTTGCATTTCTCTGTCCATTGTTATAAGGCTAGTATACTCATAGAATTAAGATTTAAAACAGGATTTAAATTTGATGAAGACTCATGGCCTATCATATACAGAATTAAAGGAAAAAGAGATCATCCCCTGCATGCTGGATCATTGACTAATAGATAATTTGAAGGACATTTGCATTTAGGGGTTTTATTCTGGGAAACTATACTGCACACTCCATCCTCAAAACACATGTCTTCATTTCCATATTTCTTTTTGCTTTACTCTCAAAGTATAAACCTACTTCCGTGGTCTTTTCTCCTGTGCCCTAGAAAAAGTTTTCTTTCTCTCTCTCTCTTTCTTTCTTTTTTTGGTAGTATCATGGAAATCCATTGCTGTGGTCTATACTGTAGTAGATAGCAGCCCTTGTGTCACCAAATGACTTGCTGGGGATATGACAGGACAGTGATTGCAATCATGTAGCAGTTGCTTCTGCACTTGAGCAAAAGGAGGAAGAGCTGGGGTAGAGGTAGCACTTTGAGAAGACACGCACCTGCTACATGACAGCTGTGTTTAAGAAGCTTGTTTTATTTTAATTATTTGGTCAGGTGTTGAAGTCTATAATTACAGTATTATTTGGGTATTGAACCAAAGTTAATCAACCCCCTGAAATGGGTGGTGATGATAATGTCTTTTATTGTAGTACATGTTGTATTTTCTAAGAACACTCATGGTCATTTAGGACTTGTTACAATGAGCAGGTAGGTGATAATGTCATCACTTCGGGACTGGGGGGCCAGACCACACTTTTGCCTGCCTCAAGCTTTGAAATGTGTTTTCCCATTGCATGAAGTGTGAAGTTTTAAACCATCACTCTAGTTCATGTGACACTGTATGCTCCCTCCCTCCCTCCCTCCCTCCCTCTTGCCGTGTAGCCTTCACTCAGTCCCATGAACACGACGAGCATCTATCTGACTTTTGTAGACTTTTAAAGTGTGAAGTTTTTATGTCAGTGAATCTTTCTTCCTCTCCTACCTTGCTAATTCTCAATCATTTCATTTACTTCTGAGATAGAGTCTCACATCACCTAGGCTGTCCTCAAACTCTCCATGTAGCCCAGATTTGGCTTCCTCAGCCGGCAAGTGCTGAGATTACATGCCTGTGTTACAGTGGTTAGCGCCCGGGACCTGGGTGCCTGAACTATCTCCCCAGCCCCCAATCTCCACTTAATTGCTTGTTCTTTGAGGCACTGCAGGCATCCCAGACAATGTCAGGGTTTTCCGTTACACATGTTCAGAGCACCCTGGCTGCTTCTTCAGAAAACCTGCCGTTCAGAGAATTATCTGTGTCGTTTATCCGGCGTCTGCTTTTCTGGTGGGCTGCAAGCTGCATGAGGGCTGAT